CTCTCTAGGCGTCTTTTCCGGCGTTTCATCTCTCTCAGCTCCTCCGTAAACCAAGGAGCCAGTTGAGATCTGCGCCGGGTCAGAGGCCGCAAAGGCACGACTCGGTCCAGTGCCGCGGCAGCGGCTACTTCCCAAGCCGCCGCCTGATTTTCCGCCGAGTCGTGAACTAGATCCTCTGGATATGGCCCAAGCTCCGTCATAAATTGAGGGCTACCTGTACTAAAATATCCTTATCATTTCGTCTTGTTAGTCAATATAAGCAGTTACAGCAAACTTTATTTAAAGAAATTATTGTAATTTCCAGAGAGCTCAGAGCAATTTCCTTTTAAAGACCTACTGCTGTCTCAGCTACCTCTGACAACATCTTCGCAAACTCTGTTGAATTGTCTCCCAATTCACGCAATTCAACGGAGGATCTTTGATCAAGATTACTGATGTCATCCTGACCAACGTAATGGCTTCTAAACACACCTTTGTCTCCATCTCCTTTAGAGAAGCCAGCCGTCTTCATGAAATCTCTGGATGATGTGGTTGCCGAGGAACGAAGCACTATCACACTGGAATGTGAAGTCTCAAAACCGAAAGTGAAACCGGTATGGAAGAAGGAAGAGGTGGAATTGATCCCAGGAGACAAATATGAGATGCTGCAGTCCGGGAAGACCCTAGGACTCATCATCCGAGATCTCGGCAAAGATGACGCCGGTTGGTACACCTGTGATCTTGGGACGGACGTCGCCAAGTCTAAAGTCATCATTCAAGGTGCGCAGAATGGTTGAGTCAGGAGAACATCGTTCTCCATTTTGCAGTGGTGGGCTTCCACATTTCTTGGACATCCACAGTTGGTGTAGGATAAGAACTATGGGAGTTGATCCAGCAGCAGCACAACTGTAGGGCATCGTGTGGGAGATGTCTTATCCTCCCACTGATGTCCACTTGGTGCTTGGTGATCATGATCTAAAAGAGATAATGAGATTCTAGAAAGCCACGATAAAGACGTTAAACCTCTAGAAAGAGTGCAGAGAAGAGCAAGTAAGAAGGATTAAGGGCCTGGAGACAAAAACATATGAAGGAATTGGGTATGGCCAAGAGGTTGCAGGATTTGGAAATGGCCAGTCTTGAGAAAAGAAGGACTAGGAGTGACATGATAGCAGTATTCCAATATTTGAGGGGCTACCCCAAAGAGGTGTGGGTCAACCTCTTCTCCAAAGCACCTGAAGGCAGGACAAGAAGCAATGGATGAAAACTCATCAAGGAGAGAAGCAATCTAGAACTAAGGAGAAATTTCCTGGCAATGAGGACAATTAACCAGTGGAACTGCTTGCCACTAAAAGTTGTGGGTGTTCCAATACTGGAGGTTTTCAAAAAGAGATTGGACAGCCATTGGTCCAGAATGGTATAGGGCAGTGATGGCGAACCTTTTAGAGACCGAGTGCCCAAACTGCAACCCAAAACCCATTTATGCATCGTCAAGTGCCGGGTGGGTGTGGCCCATTGGCTGGGTGTGGCCCATTGGCTGGACATGGCCTACTGGGTGGGCGTGGCTGCGGTGGTAACGGCAGACTGGGTGGGACTAAAAAGTTCAATCAATCAATTCCAACTTTGCGAGATCTTTTTTTTTCCTGCGAGAAGTTTAAATTGACTGATTGAACCTTTTTTTTTCTGCACAAGGTGGCGGAGGCCTAAAGCGAAAAGGCTTTATAAAACCCAGCTGAAGGCCTAGGACTGGGGCGACAGCTCACGTGCCCACAGAGAGGGCTCTGAGTGCCGCCTCTGGCACCCGTGCCATAGGTTCGCCACCATGGTATAGGGTCTGCTGCTCAAGCAGGGGGCTGGACTAGAAGACCCTTCCAATCCCATACAGTAATTGTGCATTTTGATGTCTGCATCCCCACCTTGGTCATGTGACTGCGAATCACATTTAAACTCTGGTTTTGGCCAAAAATGCCACATAGTGAACAATGGGTTCTCTTAACGACTGCAGCATTCACTTTATGATGTCTATGTTCACTTCATGACTGCCACATAAAAAGGTTGTAAAATCAGGCATGCTTCCATTGTGGCTGTTTTATTATCATTACGACAACAATTGGGGGCTCAGTGACAGTTGTAACTTGAGGACTATCTGATTGATTGAGGCTCCTAAGAATTTTTAGTTTAATTATATTAGTTTAGTTTAATTATTTTAATGTGTTATTTTAATTATTTTAATGAAATTTTAAATTTAAGTTAAATTTTAAATGAAATGAAATGAAATTTAAATTAATTTTAATTACAGGTAGTCCTCAACCTATGGCAACAATTGAACCCAAAATTTCTGTTGCTAAGAGAGAGACATTAGTTAAGTGAGTTTTATCTCATTTTACGACCTTCCTTGCCACAGTTGTTAAGTGAATCTCTGCAGTTGTTAAGTTAGTGACACAGTTGTTAAGTGGCTTCTCCCATTGACTTTGCTTGTCAGATGGTCGCAAAAGGGGATCACACAACCCCGGGACACTACAGTCATCATAAATATGAACCAGTTGCCAAGTATCCAAATTTTGATTACATGACTACAGGGATGCTGCAACGGTCATGAGTGTGAAAAACAGTGGTCACTTTTTTCAATGCCGTTGTAAGTTTGAACGGTCACTAAATGAAAATATGGTAAGTCAAGGACTTCTGGTAGTTATTTTAATTTAATTCTCATCCTGTTTCTCCACAGAGCTGAATATCGGCATCACAAAGCGTCTAAAGAGCGTTGAGGTGCAGGAAGGAGAGAGCTGTAGCTTCGAATGCGTCCTCTCACACGAGAGTCTAGACGGTTGTCAGTGGCTGATCAATGGGAACGAAGTCAGCCATGACGCCCGATATAGAGCCTTCAACAAAGGAAGGAAATACACCCTCACCATCAAGAAAACCTTAGTGACCGATTCTGGCGAAGTGGTGTTTTCCGTCCGTGACTTAAAATCCAAAGCTTCTCTTGTTGTGAAAGGTGCGTAGTGGGGGTGAGGGGAGCTAAGATTGTATTAGAATAAGTCGGATGGGGTAGAGAATCCCATGAAATCATCAACCAGGGTGGGGTCCTGGGGGCTTTCTGAGGCTGATGGTTTCCTCACAGACCTTTCCTGTTTCAGGAACATTTTGTTAAAGGAAGAATAATGAACTGATAAAATCAGTGCCTCAGAGGTAGGTAGGTAGGTAGGTAGGTAGGTAGGTAGGTAGGTAGGTAGGTAGATAGATAGATAGATAGATAGATAGATAGATAGATAGATAATAAGAAAGTGATTAATACAGTAATTGGATAGATGATTGGATAGAGAGATAGAATAAGAAAGTGACAGACAGAGAAGATAGAGATAGAATAAGAAAGCGATAGATTTGCGAGTTGGATGGATGACTGGATAAATAGAAAGAAGACAGAGAGAGAGATAATAAGAAAATGATTAATAGTTGGATAGATGATTGGATAGATAGATAAAGAAAGAGAGAATTAAAGAGAGATAGAGATAGATGATTGGATAGAGAGCTAGAGAGAAAGATAGACATCCAGAAAGAAAGACAGACAGATATAGATGGATAGATGGATGGATTTGAATAGATAGATAGAGGGAGAGAGAGAGAGAGAGAGAGAGAGAAAGAGAAAGAGATAGGTGAAGAGAGAGAGAATTAAAAAGAAATAGATTCATGATTGGATGGATAGAAGGAAAGAATAAGAAAGCAGAGATGGATGACTGAATAGAGAGAAAGAGATACTGTAGATACATAGAAATAGATAGATAGATGAATGATAGTCAGTTAGACAAACAGATAGATATAGATGATTGAATAGATAAAAATACAAAGAGAGAGAGAGAGAGAGAGTTACTTATTAACTGCTATCTTTCCCCCAAAAGTTATTTTACAATATAAAAGATTTGAAGTCCCCACAAAGGCTTAGAAGGAAATAGACCACCATTTCAGACATATAGCTGTCCAGTGGTGAACTGACCAACTTGTGAGAGTCAAAGAACCCCTTCAGATAGTTTCTACACGGTGAAGTTGCACACATGCAGCCATTTCATAGCCACGGGTCTAAATACAGCCTTATTTTTCTATCTGTGGTGGTTGAAGATGTGCGAGAGGCAACAGCAGTTATGGTGTCCTCTCTCTGACCTGGTTTCCTATCTTTTCTTCCCCACAGAAAAACCCGCCGAATTCACAAGACAGCTGGAGGACAAGTCCACCTCGGTGGGACGGGAAGTCAGCCTGAGTTGTGACTTGTCTAGATGGGACAACAACCTGAAGTGGAAGAAGGACGGCAAGGAGATTCGGAGGAGTCAAAAATACGACCTGCGTCAGGAAGGCACCCGGGCGATATTAATCATCCATGACACCACAGTGAAAGATGGCGGAGAATATACCTGCGAGATCGAATTCTCCAAAACAAAAGCCACATTATCGGTGGAAGGTCAGTGATGGGGTTACAGATAGTCCTCAATTTACAACGGTTTCTTTAGTGACCATTAGAAGTCACAATGGCACCGAAAGAAGTGACTTAGGACCATTTTTCATAGTTATGACCTTTGCAGCATTCCCGTGGTCACATGATCCAAATTCATAAGCTTGGCCATTGACTCATATTTTTGACGGTTGCAGTTTCCTGGGGTCCTGTGATTCCCTTTTGCGACCTCCTGCGGAGGCCAGATTCACTTAACAAACAATTTACTAACTGAACAACTGCAGTGATTCACTGAACAACTGTGGCAAGAAAGGTCATGAAGTGGGGCACAACTCATTTAACAACAATCTTGCTTAGCAACAAAAATTTAGCAACAGAAACCATAATCCTAACCCTTTACATGTAATCCTCGACTTACAATCACAGTTGAGCCCCAAATTTCTGTTGCTAAGTAAGATAGTTGTTAAGTGAATTTTGCCCCATTTTACAACATTTCTTGCCATAGTTGTTAAGTGACTCAATGTAGTTGTTCAGTTAGTGACATGGTTGTTAAGCCAATCTAGCTTCCCCATTGACTTTGCGTGTCAGAAGGTCACCAAAGGGGGTCATAAATACAAGCCAGATGCCAAGTGTCCAAATTTTGATCAAGTGACCATTGGGATGCTGCAACGGTTGTAAATGTGAAATACAGTCATACGTAATTTTTTTCAGTGCCGTTGTAACTCCAAACCATCACTAAACCAACTGTTGCAAGTCAGATGGAAAGAAGGCAATTATTATAAATAAGAAAACTCATTATAAATGGAGTTATTTCTTTTGCTAAGTTTGATGGGACCTTTGATTTTATATTAAAGTTTGTTTAAGTCCCAGATTGGGTCCCATATTAATACTGTTGTTGTTGTTGTTGTTGTTGTTGTTGTTGTTGTTCTTCTTCTTCTTCTTCTTCTTCTTCTTCTTCTTCTTCTTCTTCTTCTTATTATTATTATTATTATTATTATTATTATTATTATTATTATTATTTCATCCATTCCAGAAGCTGGAAACTGCTTCGTGAAGGATCTTGAGGATCTGAAGGTGGAGGAGAATAAGAATGTCACCCTCACCTGTGAAACCAAGAAACCAGCATCTGCTGTGACCTGGAGGAAAGGCATTGTTGACCTTCAAGCCGGCCAGAAATATGAGATCAGCCAAAAAGGGACCATCTTGCAACTCCTCATGAAGGATCTCAGAGAAAATGATAGTGACATCTACACGTGTGACATTGGTGACAGCCAATCCAGTGCAAAGCTGGTGGTGCAAGGTAGGACCGACGTCTGATTGGTTTCAGTCATGTAGAAATAAAATCAGAGGGAAGCCTCTAATTAAGTAGGGGTCCTTGACTTATGACCACAACTGAGCCCCAAATTTCCATTGCTAAGCAAGACAGTTGTTGTGAGTTTTGCCTCATTTTACGTCCGTTCTGGCCATAGCTATCAGGTTAATTATTGCCATTGTTAAGTTGGTCACATGATTGTTAAGTGAATCCGGCTTCCCCATCGACTTTGCTTGTCAGAAGGTTGCAAAAGGGGATCACGTGACTCCCGGACACTCGTAAATATGAGTCAGTTGCCAAGCATCTCAATTTTGATCATGTGACCATGGGATGCTGCAATGGTCGTTAAGTGTGAAAAATGGTTATAAATCACTTTTTTCAGTGCCCTTGTAACTTCAAATGGTCACTAAACAAACTCTTGTAAGTCAAGGGCTACCTGTATACCAATATGATTAGTTTTTTAAAAAATGGTTTATTTCTCTTCCTTCCTGTTCCATCTTTTTTCTTTTTGTATTTTAGGCCTGCCGGTAGTTTTTAACCAAGAACTGCAAAACAAAGAAGCACAGGAAGGGAATAAAGTCCGTCTTACTTGTGAGCTTAACAAATCAAACGTCCCTGTGCAGTGGATGAAGGGCAATGTAGTCCTGGAAGCGGGGGACAAATACGAATTCAAGCAACGGGGTCCTGTGACTGAACTCGTCATCCGGGACGCAAAGCCGTCGGATGCAGGGGAATATATTTGCAAAAGTGGAGACCTGAAGACCTCTGCACGGGTGGAGGTGACAGGTAGGAGAGCTTTGATAATGTTTGCCAGTATTGAAAGCGGTTCTGGACATAACGGTCTTCTGAAGTTCTCCATCCCTGGGATGGGTATGAAAAAATGGGTAGATAATCTCAGGGTCTCGAGAGAAAGAGGGATTCCAGCGTTTTCTCAAGTGCAAGTGTTCCTTTTGGTTTTATGAAAAGGCTGAGATGATTTGCTTGGGCATGGTGGACCTCTGTGAGAAGAAGAGGGTTGGACTAGATGGGTCCAATTCAATCGGGCGTTGCTTACGTTCATCTCATATCTCACATCAGAATCTCCTATATCTCTTATCTCATATCTGATACACATATCTCACATCTTGTATCTCATCTCATATCTTATACCTCATATATCTCTATCTCATATCTCAATATTATACCTCATATTTCATACCTCATATCTCAAATCTCATATACCTCATACCTCGAATATTTCAATCTCATATCTCAATATTATACCTCATATCTCATACCTCATACCTCGTATCTCGTACCTATCTGATACTCATATCTCAGATCTTGTATAATACTACTACTACTACTACTAATAATAATAATAATAATTATACCTCATATCTCATACCTCGTATCTTTTACCTCACGCCTCGTATCTCAAATATCAATCTCATATCTCATATTTTTACCTCATACATCTCAATCTCATATCTCATTATTATACCATATCTCATACCTCATGTCTCATATCTCATGTGTTGTATCTTGTATCTCATCTCAATTTCATATCTGATACCTCATACCTCATATCTCATTCATATCTCAATCTCATATCTCATATCATATCTTGTATCTCATATCTCAAATCTCAATCTCATCTCAATCTTTTACCTCATACTTCACATGTCACATCTCATACCTCATCTCATATCTTGTATCACATCTCAGTTTCATATCTGATACCTTATAGCTCATTCATATCTTAATCATATCTCATATATGATATCTCATACATATCTCATATGATATGCCTCATATCTCATTTCTCTCATACCTCATATTTCATACCTCATATGTCATATCATATCTCATATCTCATGTCTCATTCATTTCATTATATCTCATATCTCAATCTCATCCCCTCAGTCATTGGTGCTCCATGAGGTTAGTTATTTTCTTTCAGACATCTCATGACCCAGCTAGGTAACATCATCAGTGCCAGAAGGGAGGGGGGTTATAGAAAGGCGGAGGAAGAGAAGGAGGACAAGAAGGACTGTAAGGTCCTTGGTGTCTTTTGAACTTGGTTGTTTCCTTGCAGATGTCTCATTACCCAACTAGATAACAGCATCAGTGCTAGGTGGTTTATTTATTTAGAAGATTTACTTATTGCCCTCTGCTGCTGCCCAAACTGAGCGGGCTGTGTTTCCCTGTACAAATCCAATTTGCTTCCTGTTGCCATATCAGCTCACGTGCAAGTTTTCCTCCAAAACCTTACTTTGCCCCCCTTATCCTGATCGTGCCTTTTAGCGGCCCCCGCCATTTTTAAGGAAGAGCTTAAGGATGTGGAAAAGAAAGAGGGCGAGACGGTTGCTTTGCGCTGCGTCCTCGCCGCACCAGAGGTCACAGTGGCATGGAGGAAAGGTGCGACTCTCCTTCAGCCGAGCGAGAAGTATGAGATCAAACAGGATGGCTGTGTGGCTGAGCTGCTGATTCGCCATGCACAACCGGAGGATGCAGGAAAATATACTTGCAATGCGGGAGAGAAACAGAGCGCAGCTCAGATCAAAGTCCACGGTAGGGAAAGATGGTGGATACGTTCCTCATCTTCGCTTGCTTTTTCCTTGTACAAATGTCTGTGGAGATTCTCAGTCATGGTCATGGTCATGGTTGTCCCAAAGGTATATTTTCAAAAGACAACTGGACTTTGTTTTTCCTTGAAGACATTTCACCTTACATCCAAGAAGCTTCCTCAGTTCTGACTGAATGCTGGAGAATGGAAGGATTTATATTCCTGGCAGTCATCTCTTTCTGAGAGTCACTGAGGCCACTTGAGGGTTTATCTGTGCCTGCGGGGTCACCTGAATAGTGCCAATGGGTGATGGAGGCTATAGTGCAGTGAGACATGTACAGATCTGTTCACTGAAGAAAGAAAACAATCACTTCACAAACACCTGACACAACATAGGACAGTGATGACGAACCTTTTAGAGACCGAGTGCCCAAACTACAACCCAAAACCCACTTATTTATCGCCGGGTGCCAGGTGGGCATGGCCCACTGGGCGGGTGTGGCTATAGTGGTCATGGCAGACTGGGTGAGTGTGACCAAGGTGAATGTGGTCACCTCGATGTTGCTCGTGGGGAGGGATGCCTGTGGAGGCCGGGCAACATTGGGGGAGATCCAGGTGGTCTCTGGCAGGTGGGGCAGTGGGCAGGAGGCTCACCCTGCGGGGTGAGGCAAGGCGAGGCAGAGCGGGGGTGCCATTGTCACAGGGCAAGGTGAGACGGGCTGGGGCAGCTGCTGCCTGACACCATCAACCCCCTCACACAGAGGCCAGTGAGCGCATGGGGGCCGACAGTGTCCGTCAGCCGCCACAGCCTGCCGGCCCCTCAACCGGTGCACTCTGGGGCTCCACAGCCCGCCGCCAGCAGTTCAGAGAAGCCGCCTCTGAGCTGGATGGCCAGCCGACAACTGAGGAGGCAATGCAGTGGGTTGTGCCCTGGAAAAGGAGAGCATGCAAGACCAGGGGGGACGGAAACCAGCCATGCTAGAATGCATCTAGCCACATGGGACCTCGGTGAGTTAGCGGGCGGCTGGTTGAAGAGGGACGGTTGCCATCTCCGGGGCATGGCGTGCGTGCCCACAGAGAGGGCTCTGAGTGCCACCTCTGGCATGCGTGCCATAGGTTCGCCACCACTGACATAGGAGAATAAACCCATTGGGACCAGATTCAGGAGTCCATCTGCATTTAAAAGACAAAGGCCACTCTTTCAAAGACAGCAAAGTCCACATTCTGGACAAAGAGGATCACTGGTTTGAAAGAGGGGTGAAAAAGGCCATCTACATTAAGACTGAACAGCCCACTCTCAGCAGAGGGGGGAGAGATATGACACCACCTGTCTCCTGTCTCCCATCCCATGACACCACCTGTCTCCCATCAGAGTCCTTTCAGCAGTTCCAAGAAGGCTGCACACCCACTTGCACTATTCAGGTAACCCTAAGGGCTCAAATAAACCTCAAGTGGTTTCAACAACTCTCAGAGAGAGTGCTAACAGCCAGATGACTGCAAGGAATAAAGATACTCCTCAACTTACAACCACAACTGAGCCCAACATTTCTGTTGTTAAGTGAGACATTTGTTAAATGAGTTTTGCCCTGTTTTACGACATTTCTTGCCACAGTTGCTAAGTGAATCACTGCAGTTGATAAGTTAGTAACCTGGTTGCTAAGTGAATCTGACTTCCCCTTTGACTTTGCTCGTCAGAAGGTTGCAAAAGGGGATCACATGACCTTGGGGCACAGCGACCGTCGTAAGTATGAACCAGTTGCCAAGCATCTGAATTTTGATCACATGTTCATGGGGATGCTTCAAAGATCGTAACTGCAAAAAATTGTCATAAGTCACTTTTTTTAGTGCCATTGTAACTTTGAACAGTCATTAAATGAAGAATTGTAAGTCGAGGGCTACCTGTATAAATCCTTCCATTCTCCACCATTAAGTCAGAACTGAAGAAGCTTCTTGGATTAATAGAGAAATATCTACAAGGAAAAACAAAGTCCAGTTGCTTTTTGAAAAATCACCTTTGGGACTACCTGTATTGTAAGATTAAATGAACAGAATTTTGCAAAATTAAAAATATTTTTCCCTGCCTGGAAAACTAGGGAGGGTCCCTTTTGAAATGCTTCCCATGTCCCTTTTCTTTCAGTCGATGGAGATACCTTTTATCTGCCAGTTCTCTAATCTGCAGGTCTCCCCGTCTCCCAAGGTCATTCACACATACTATTATATCATATCATATGATATCTCTCTCTCTCTCTCTCTCTCTCTCTCTCTCTCTCTCTCTCTCTCTCTCTCTCTCTCTCTCTCTCTCTCTTATCTATCTTGTCTGTCTATAATTATCTGTATCTATGTATCAATCTATCCATCCATCTATCTCTCTATCATCTGTCTCTCTCTTTGTCTCTGTCTCTGTCTCTGTATCTCTCTCTCTCTCTCTCCATCCATCCATCCATCCATCCATCTACATCTATGTTTGGTCTATATCTATCTATCTATCTATCTATCTATCTATCTATCTATCTATCTATCTATCTATCTATCTATCTATCTATCTATCTATCTATCTATCTATCTATCTATCCATCTATCAATCTAATCTCTGTATCTATCTATCTATCTATCTATCTATCTATCTATCTATCTATCTATCTATCTATCTATCTATCTATCTATCTATCTATCTATCTATCTATCTATCTATCTATCTATCTATCCAGCTGTCCTTCAATCTCTCTCTCTCTCTCTCTCTCTCTCTCTCTCTCTCTCTCTCTCCCCCTCTCTCCCTGCCTGTCTGTCTGTCTATCTGTCTATCTATCAATCTATCATCTCTGTCTTAAAACCCATAGTCAGTTTAAAGGATTCTTGCTCTCTTGTTTAAATCAATTGCTTCAAAAAGATTTCTCCGCCATTCTGTATTGTCCTAACAGCTCCTCATGGCTATCTGTCTATATTCTGGGGCTAGAAACATGGGTGTCTAAAGGGGGTGGTCAAATGAGTGCAATCAAAGTTCTACTTGTTTTCTTTGCATTTGATGCATTTGCTGATTTGACCTCCTTTATAATATAACTTGAATCTAATATTGCTAAGTGATCCTCTTGTATTTATGTGCACACTCCATATTTTTGTCTGTAACCCTTCATTCTCCAGCTACACCCGTCAGCTTTAAAGATAAACTGAAGAATGCCGAAGCTCTGGAAGGTGGAGTAGCTACTCTCCACTGTGAGTTAAATAAACCCGCTCCAGTGGAGTGGGTGAAAGGACAAAAAACGTTACGGCTGGGCAGCAAATATCGAATGAAGAAAGAAGGTGCCATCGTCGAGTTGACGATTCATGATCTGGACTTGAAAGACGCTGGAGATTATACCTGCATTTCTGGAGACCAACAGACAACTGCAGTCTTAACCGTGAACGGTAAAAAAAGCCAAATCAAAGCACAGCTTTGCTTATCTTATGGAGGTGTTCCTAGACCCCTATATTTGTGTCCTTTCAAAGTTTGACCATCTTGGTTTGCTCTCTTTTCCCTTGGCCTTCTGTGCGTCCTCCAGGCCTGAAGATCTCTGCTTTCCTTTTCAGCTTGACAGGAAAGGATGCTTTGCAAATTGTTTCTGAGCATTGGCATTAGTAGAGCAGGTGTAAATAGTCCTCGTGTCCGTTTTAAGCAAGGCTGAATCCTGTTTCTCCAAATAATTCTGTCTTGTGTGTGTTCAACTTTTGACCTTAGGAGAAGTCTACTTTGGGGACCATCTTCCAAATTTGGAATGGGTAGCAACTGTTGAGAACACACCAGATGGTAATCCATGGGTGTCACACTAGGACATGTGCGTGTGTGAGAGAAATAGTCTTCCCCATAATTTGTGGCTGTTGATGTAGTATCTTCTACTTCTGTGCCCTTCAGCCGTGGCTGCCCATTTCAAAACTCAACTGAAGAACCAGGAGGTGACTGAGAGTGGAACTGCCACTCTGCATTGCGAGTTGACCAAAGCTGTGGATTCGGTCGTGTGGATGAAGGATGAAGAAGTACTGAAACCGAGTGAGAAGTACCGAATGAGGCTAGAAGGGCGCTTTGCCGAGCTTTCCATCCAAGATCTGGAGGTCCCAGATGCTGGGAGTTATACCTGCGTGTGTGGGGATCAGAAGACCAAAGCAACTTTGAAAGTGAACGGTAATAAGCTTTGCAACTGATCTTCCTTGGGTTTCTTAGTTGCTCCTGATAACTCTTTCATCGATCACCTGAAATGCAATTACTTTTAATGTAGTTTCAGAAGCAGGATCTTCTCCAAAATTTCATAAATCTTGTTTTGGTTTTCCTGATTTTTTTTCCCCTCATGGTATGTTTCAAACATCGCAAGGGTTTTATCCATCAAGATCTAATTCATGCAATAATTTGATCCTGTCTTTCTCCATGTCACGTCCTTCAGCACTGCCCGTGTTTTTCCAAGAAGAATTAAAAAACCAGGAAGTGACCGAAGGGGAATCGATCACTTTCCAGTGTAAGCTGAACAAAGCAGCAACTGTGGAGTGGTACAAGGGATCCAGGCTGCTGAAACCAGATGGAAAATTCCAGTTAAAACAGGAAGGTCCTTGTGTTGAACTGATGATCCAAGGCTTGGATATCGCTGATTCTGGAGATTATACTTGCAAATGTGGATCCCAGAAGACTACAGCTAAATTGACCATAAATGGTAAAAATAGATACATAACACCCTTAAATCATTGTATCTTAAAGTCTTTAATTTTTTTTTAGTTCTTCAGTGAAACTCAGCATCGCAGTTTATCTTTTTACGTCTAACTTGCTTCTTCTTCATAAACCATTCTTTGACTTATCATCATCAATCTTGCAGTCTCATAAATGGGGTCTTAGTCTTTAAAACTTTTTAGTTTCTAAGGGAAGAGGTCAAAACATTTCTTCCTCAACATCCCTTTGGGGATATCCAAAAGTTTGCAGCAACTATTGGGAGAAGGCCTTCTTTAAACTTGCCCTGAGAAATGGCTCAAGAGACCAATTCAAAATACAGAATAACAGAGTTGGAAGGTACCTTAAAGGTCGTCTAGTCCAACCCCTTACTCAAGAAGGATACCTTACACCAGGGGTGTTAAACTCACCTTGTCACATAACGTGTCGTGATGTATAGCGACTTTTTCCCCTTGCCGGAGCTGGTGCGGTTTCTGCGTGACGCATCCGGCCCATGGGCTGGCAGTTTCACACCCCTGCCTTATACCATTCCAGACAAATGACTGTCCAATATCTTTTTGAAATCCTGCAGTGATGGAGCAACCACAACTTCTGGAGAGGAAGCCATTCCACTGTTTAATTCCTCTCACCATCAGGAAATTTCTCTTTAGTTCTTCCATCCATCACTTCTTGTCTGGCTGTTAAATGCTAAATTCAGCAATAGGATTCTGGATTGAAAGATATACCTGCACCTGATTTATAAATCTGTATAGGTAGTTATCCAACTTTGTTGCTAGATGCTCCTAGACTCCTATATGTCCTGTAGAAATGTAATAACAGGGAGCAAAAATTAAACAACATAAGAGATGAATAATGTTCTATTAATCCGTGTTAATGGCATAGCTAATAGTTTCAAAGGATTAAACTCTTTGAGCAATAGATGTCCTAGTGGATAATCACTTAAATATGAGCCAGCCGTGTGCTGCAGCTGCCAAAAAAGCCAACACAGTGTTAGGCTGAATTAACAGAGGGATAGAATCAAGATCACCTGAAGTGTTAATACCACTTTACAAGGCCTTGGTAAGGCCACACTTGGAATACTGCATCCAGGTTTGGTCACCACGATGTAAAAAAGATGTTAGAGTCTCTGGGAACAGTGCAGAGAAGAACAACAAAGATGATTAGGGGACTGGAAGCTAAAACATATGAAGAATGGTTGCAGGAATTGGATATGTGTAATTTAATGAAAAGAAGGACTAGGGGTGATATGATAGAAGTGTTCCAAAATTGGAGGGGCTGCCACAAAGAAGAGGGAGATTAATCTGCCCTCCAAAGCAACTGAAGGCAGGACAAGAAGCAATGAATATAAATTAAATCAAGAAGAGAACCAACCTAGAACTAAGAAAAAACTTCCTGACAATTCAAACATTCAATCTGTGGAACAGAAGTTGCCTTCAGAAGTTGTGGGTGATCCATTATTGGAGGTTTTTAAGAAGAGAAGAGACTGGACAATTATTTGCCCAGAATGGTTCAGAGTTTCCTGGCTGAGCAGGAGGTTGGGCTAGATGACCTACAAGGGCCCTTTCCAGTTCTATCATTTTATGTTTATGTTCCAAATGAGCATGAACTGAAATCAGGGATCCTGCTGTCAGCGGCATCCTCTTTATGTGATCCATTTGAAACTGGAAGCAAATGTCTACATATTTTTTTAAAGAGTCAGATATTATTTATACAGAAATTCTAGCTAAAAAACTAGCCCTATCTCAGCATGATCTAATCTAGTGTTTCCCAACCTTGGGAATTTTTTAGGCATGTGGATTTCAAGACCCAGAATTCTCATCAACGGTCCTGCTGGCTGTGGAATTCTGGGATTTGAAATCCACACTGCTGGAAATTGCCAACATTGGGGAAGCCTGATCTAATCCAACCATCAGCCCACACTCTCCTTAATTCGTCCATGCATTGGGATCCATATGATCACTGGTACAGGTAGTCCTTGACTTACAACCATTTATTTAGTGACCGAAGTTATAAGACTCTGAATAAAGTGACTTATGACCATTGCAGTATCCCCATGGGGATCAAAATTTGAACTATCATGTATTTATGATGGTTGTGGTATCCTGGGATCACGTGATCCCCTTTTGCGAACTTCTGACAACCAAAGTCAATGGGGAAGCTAGATTCACATAAAAACTGTGCGACTTACGTAACAACTGCAGTGGTTCTCTTAACAACTGTGGCAAGAAAGGTCATCAAGTGGGGCCAAAGTCACTGAAAAACTATTTTGCTCCACAACAGAAAATTTGGGCTGCATTGCAGTCGTTAAGTCAAGGACTATCTGTATTCTCGAGACCAATGAACCTACAACGCTGTGATATTTTTTACATCTAATGATGAAGTCAAGCTGAGTTTGCAAGAATTCCAGATTGTAAACTCCATAAATTGGAGGTTAAAATGGTAATTTCCAAGCTTTTGCAGTTTGACAAGATGGGGATCAGCAGGGATTGAACAGATCTCACACAGTAACCCATTAAGGAAAATGATTAGGTTGAATTATGCCTCGTAATTAATGACCCCAATTGTTTGCTAAGGAAGGAGTTGTTTGTGCTCCCAGCTAACCCTGATGGACTTCTGTCCTATCATTCTCCATTCTTTAGCCCTGCCGGTCCTCTTCACCAAATCCTTGAAGGACGAAGAAGCTCCGGAAGGCAAAGTTGCCACTTTCCAGTGTGAGCTGAACAAAATATCTGCCCCCGTAGAGTGGAAGAAAGGACACAAGATCCTTAAGCCAGGAAGCAAGTATAAAATGAAACACGAAGGAAAAATTGCTGAACTGGTCATCCAGAACTTGGAAGTAACTGATTCTGGAATCTATGCTTGTGTATCTGGAGAACAGCAAACCACAGCATCTTTAGAAGTCAAGGGTAAACCTTTATCTCTCCACATATATATTTCTTCTATTGGTTCCCTTGATCTCCTGGTCTTTCTCAGCCTTTTAGTTTCTCCTGAAATCCTGATCTTTGTGCTAGACTATATATAGTACGTTGACAATCTTTCATCAACTATCTTAGAATCACCAAGTTTGAATAGATATCAGCAAAGTTTAGTTCCCTCAATCAAATTTTAATCTTATTAAAAAAGCCACTTTTCTTATTTCTGAAGGTGTCCAAACATCTAAGATTCTTCTTATTAAGAGCTGAGGTTGTCGTAATGTTCATAAGAACTTTCCTCAATTTGGAGCCTTCAAAAGGGTTTCAGTAATGGGCGAGGAAGACCCATTTATTATATATAATTATCTAAGTAGTTCAGATAAATCCATAGCAAATATTAACTTCAAAGCTACTACTCAGCCTAAAATATATATGTTCAACCACTTTTTTTAATGATTGGAACTCAGAATTGCTATGGTTGAGTAAAGAAGAACCTCAAGGAATCAAGAACAGATTCTTTCTTGGGTAAAGCTGGAATGTAGGTGCCTCAGAAATGTCCATATGCTTTAAACATCACACCATTATTTGTCTTCCCAGCGTGTCCCTGTTGGACAATAATTCTATAAAAATGTCTAACATATCGTGTTCTCCCAATCCATAAGTTCTTGTTTTGCTCTGTTTGAGTGGTAGGACTTCCATGCTTGTATGATGCAGTAAATGTCCTGTGGTTTCCATCTCTTTGTTCCATCTCTTTGTTCCTCCATGCTTACTTTTCAACTCTGTCCTTGTTGCCATCTTCTCAGCTCTGCCCGTTCTTTTCAAAGAAGGGCTGAAGAACCGGGAAGCTGTTGAAGATGCCACCACTACTCTCCATTGTGAGATGTCTAAAGCTGGGGCTGAGGTACAGTGGAAGAAAGGATCACAAACTCTTAAGCCAAGCGATAAATACAGAATGAGACAGGAGGGTCCTGTTGCTGAATTGTTGATTCGAGATCTGAAAGTGATGGACACGGGAGATTACTTCTGTGTGTGTGGAGATCAGAAGACCACAGCCATCTTGACCGTTCATGGTAATCAGTTGTTCCATAGTCTGTTGTATTAATCATCTTGTGTGGTTTGCATTGTGATGTCTTGTCTTGTCTCCATGTTGGTCACTTGGTCAAGTAACCCTGTTTGTGTCCAAAGTCAACAAGAGTGTCATACCTTGGCTGATGGTGGTTACAACTATTTTGACAATGTCAGTTCTCATCAAGGTTTGAGTTGTCTGCTTGAGACCCTCAGAGGGTCCTTAGAATTAAGCTTTGCCCCATGAGGTTCTCCAGCATGACGTTCTCCAACATGAGGTTCTCCAAATTGATGTTCTCAAGAACATGAGGCTACAGTCCCAAAATTCCTAGGCAAGATTTTGTCCCACCATATCTGGACCTTCTTACGTACTTAACAACTAATCACATTCTGTGTTCTTGGTTTGATGATGGGTACTTTTTTTTTTGCAAAAAGAAGACTCTATATCCATGTTGGAAACCCTAGCTACACAATACTTTTAGGTTGTGAAGGCAGATTTTTACGGGTTGAAAGTATTCTCCACAATGCTGGCATTTGAAAATAGCTAGCTCAAGTCAGGAGACAGCCTTTGTCTTTTCATATATCACAAATCTCTTTCTTTCTTACAATTTCCTAAAATTATGCTACTATTTCTTCTCTCTTAATATCTTCTGCAAATTTTCATTAAGATATTTCTCTCAAGACAAAATCTTCTTGATTCTGCAAAACTCCAGTGTGGTCTCTTTTCTCCTCTCACATAACAATATTCAAACTTTGCTAATACTTATCACAACATGCTAAGATTCCTTGATTTTACAAATCTATGCATTCCCACAAGGAATTTTGGTGCTTTTTGATACAGGGATATATTAATTTTTTCAGGGCAAAAATCACAGTCCCTTAACAAAATATTCCAACTGTCTAAAACAATTTCTTTCAGTTAGCTTCTTTCTTCTTTCTTATTCTACAATGCCTAGAATTGATTCTGCATTTTTGAAATGTATTTCTTTAATTGTGTCCTACATTCTATATTTAGTTTATTTATTTATTAGATTTTTATCCCACCATTATTATTTTATAACTAATGCAAGGTGGCAAGTATACATAATAATACTCCTTCCCAGTGCTTTTTTTGTAAAAAAAAAAAAAAAAAAAAGGTGCCGGAACTCACACATGTCATACAACCTGCTTTGCCTACCTTACAAGGTTCCATCCAAAAAAGGTGCCAGAACTCTGTTCTGGGCGTTCTATGACAAAAAAAGCCCTGCTCCTTCCTGCTTTTATTTTTCCCACAACAACATTGTGAGGTGGGCTGGGCTGAGAGAGGGAGGGTCTGGCTCAAAGTCACCTAGTTAGCTTTCATACCTAAGACGGAACTAGAACTCACCATCCCCTGATCATTGGCCCAAAGCCACCAAGCTGGCTTTAATGCCTGAGATAGGATTAGAACTTATCATGTCCTGGTAATTGGCCCAAAGTCACCCACCCATCTTCTATGCCTAAGGCAGGACTAGAATTCACCATTTCCTGATATCTAGCCCAGCACCTTAATCACTACACCTTACTGACTCTCATATTAATGCCTTCTGAATCAAAACAGGAATCAGAAAACACTTGTTGCAATGAAATATATACTATTTTTTTTTTAACTTAGCACCTTTCAAAAATATGTTGATTTTTCAGTTCTAAATGCATTTTAACATTAGCTTATAAAATGATATTATTTTTTTCTAGTCTGTGTTGGACAGACTATACCTTTAACAAATCTATTTCTAGGCCCTGCATTTTAAGAAGGATGTTGACATTTTACAAATGCATATTTCCATGTTTTTATTTATTGATTAATTTTATATTCCACTTCCTCTCCATTTGGAGATTTCCAAAATGATCTTTGTGCCAAAAGGAGGACATGAAGTTGGCTCTCCTAATACAATATTTTAACCCTACGCTTTCATTTCTAACATGTCAAAATTCCAAAACTAAACACTGCAAAATTTAACATTGGAAATTCCATGTTAAACTTTCATCTTAGTCCAGAATTTGAGCCAATTCCAAAGAATATTTTGCATTGTGTCTCTACATTTGTTCCTTTAAAGATATTTTAATCTAATTCTTTACAAAGGTATCTAGGCAACTTTCTTTTCTTCCTTCTTTTTAATTCTTTTTTTATCAGCTGCCTTCTTTTAATTTCTTTCTTCTTAAAGATTTTTTCCCACTGGATCCATTAAAATGCTGTTTTGGAAGTATTTTATTTTTGTTCCTGAACTTCTGATTTTTGAATTGTTTTTGTACTATTGTTGCTTGCAGTTATATATCTATTTCTAGGCCCATGTGCTAGTTCCAACTGAGTTATTTGTGCAGAGAAAAATGCCTACGCCTTTCCTGTCTGCTTTATGAAAAGCATTTGGTGAAACAGGAAAAAATGTGAATTCCACAAACTGGAGGAATAATACTTTAGAAAAAGAATGTTTTTTTTTCATCTAAAATGTTTGATGAAATCCAAATGATGTAGAAAAGCAGAACAGGGCTATCGTGTTTTACTGTATACATTTGTGGGGTTCAAATTTATTTTGATCTTTAAAACAAGAAGGTGACATCTCAGTTGAAAATGTGTTTTTAATAGGAATCTTTGATTTATTTATGATTTATTTATCCATCCACCCATCTATTCATTCATTCATTCATTCATTCATTCATTCATTCATTCATTCAATATCTGTATAGATACCATCCTCCCTCCCTCTCTCCCTCCCTCTTTATCCTTCCTTCCTCCCGGTAATCTTTTTTCCCTTCTTCCCTCCCTCCCTCCCTCCCTCCCTCCCTACTTCTCTTCCTTCTCTCTCCTTCCCCCTTTCTTTCCTCCCTCCTCTCTCCTTCCTTCGGTCCTTCCTTCCCCCTCCTTTCTTCTATCTTTCTCCCCTTCTTTCTTTCCTTCCTTCCTCCCTCCCTCCCTCCCTCCCTCTCTCCCTCCCTCTTTATCCTTCCTTCCTCCCGGTAATCTTTTTTTCCTTCTTTCCTCCCTCCTTCCCTTCCTTCTCTCTCCTTCCCCCTTTCTTTCCTCCCTTCCCTCTCCTTCCTTCTATCTTTCTCTCCTTCCTTCCTCCCTCCCTCCCTCCCTCCCTTCCTTCCTACTTTCCTTCTTTCCTTCCCCTTCCACATCCCCTTCAAAAAATATAATATGATTTAAACACTAAAACCATTCTAAAACTATAATAGCAATAAAAACAATAAAAAAATGATGTTGATCTTTAGCATGCAGCAGAACAACCAGCTTCAGATTACAAATTGCTTTTGTACAATGAATGTCGTCCGTTATACCATGACATCATCATGCAAATGGAAGTGATGATGTCATGTATTATGCAAATTGTGTCACAAACCCAGCTGGCTGCACCTTTCAGATGCTCCTTTCCTTGAGTTTCTTTCACTGTGCATTCTTGCAAAAGCTCCCTTTTGCAAATCTCAAAATTCTGAAATTTAAAACGACCCACACCCTGTCGGTGTTATGTTCCACAGCTCTACCTGTGCGTTTCCAAGAAGAACTCAAAAGCCAAGAGCTCTTGGAAGGAAAGACGGCCGTTCTGCGCTGTGCATTAAATAAAACTGCTGTGGTGGATTGGAGAAAAGATGCACAGACGCTCCAGCCAAGTGCAAAATACAAAATCAAACAGAAAGAAAATGTTGCGGAGCTCACAATCCAGGATGTGACTGAAGAGGATGCAGGAGAATATTCCTGTATTTGTGAAGATCAAATCACATCAGCCTCTATCAGTGTGCAAGGTAAATATGACACCTCTCTCTTCCTCTCCCTGATTAAAAGGACGTGTTGGTGTAGCTCAGGGATGAATTGTGGGGTCCTTGATGCTCGCTGAGCTGGATTGTTTTTTTTGCAGAACATTTCATGACCCATCTAGGGAATATCATTAGTACTGGAAGGGAATGGGGTTTGTGGAGAGGAGGAGGAGGAAGAGGAAGAGGAAGAAGATTGTGGGATTCTTGGTGCTCTCTGAGCTTGATGGTTTTCTTGAAGACCCATCATCAGTTACCTAGTGATGAGTGGCAAGTGATCAGTGTCGGACTGATCATGAGTCATGAAACATCTGCAAGAAAACCATCAAGCCCAGAGAGACACTAAGCACAATCTTTGGTGCCTCTTTAGAATTTTAGACCACTTTTGGAAAACAGTCCACAGTGTGGGAGAGTTTCTTTTTTCTCTCCAGTTTCTACATCTATTGCTTTCTGTGACAACCTGCACTCCCATTCTTTTAAATTTCAGTTCGGATCTTAGAGTTATAAAAGGACCGTTAAGATTATCTGCCCCTGCATCCTCCCCAGGGAATCCTGGGTGCTTAAGTTTACCCATATTAAATTTTCCAAGGTTGAGAAACACTGATCTAGTCCATTTAATTGCACCATTTTACTGGAAAAGCCGGAAAAATTATGTCTACGATTGGATTAGAGTATAGATAGTCCTTGACTTATAACCATTTGTTTAGTGACCATTCAGAGTTACAATGGCACTGAAAAAACCTGACTTATGACCATTTTTCACACTTACGACCGTTGCAGCACCCCAACGATCCCATGATCGAAATTTAAATGCTTGGCAACCGGTTCATATTTATGACGGTTTCAGTGTCCCAGGGTCATGTGGTCACCTTTTGTGACCTTGTAACAATGGGGAGGCCAGATTCACTTAGCAACCATGTGACTAGCTTAACAGCTGCAGGGATTCACTTAACAACTGCAGCAAGAAAGGTCATCAAATGGGGCAGAACTCACTTAACAACTGTCTTGCTTAGCAATGGAAATTTTGGGCCTTCACTGTGGTCGTAAGTCGAGGACCGCCTGTAAGTGATTCTACACATAACCCTTAAGAGGAATCATGGATTTATTCCAGCTGGCGTGATGAATGACCTCAAATGTCCTCTTTACTCTCTCCAGCCTTACCGCCACGTTTCAAAGTCGACCTGAAGAACCTCGAGGCTGCCGAAGACGGCACCGCCACTCTGCAGTGCGAGCTGACCAAAACTCCCGCCCTTGTGAAGTGGTGGAAGGGCAGCGAGGTTCTGAAGCCCAGCGACAAATACGAAATGAAACTGGAAGGTGTGGTTGCTGAACTGGTGGTCCACCACTTGCAACTGGCTGATATTGGGGATTACAGTTGCACTGTTGGCGATTCGAAGACTTCAGCTTTCTTAAGGGTGAATGGTACATAAAACATTTTGTTTCCAATAGTCATATGCGATAGATGTAAAATGAGGAGGACTTCTAGGTTTCCTCTGGTCGTCTTAGATGTGAGAAAGAGGTCAAAAGATCTTTACAGCGCTTGGAGGCTGAGTAAGATCAATAGAAGAGTACATAGCTTGGGGTCGAACTATGGAGTTCTTGGTGCTTTCTGAACTTGGTGGTTTTCTTGCAGACATCTCATAACCCAGCTAGGTAATGTCATCAGAACTCAAAGGGTTGGGTTTGCAGGGAGGATGAGGAGGAGGAGGGGGGGAGGAAGGGAGGGAGGGAGGGAGAAGGAGAACTTCTAAGCAAATTCCTTCTAGGTAACATAATCAGTGCTAGAAGAGAGAGGGGCTTGCGGAGGGGGGGAAGAGGAGGAGGAGAAGGAGAAGAACTATAGGGTGCTTGATGCTCTCTAAGTTCGGTGGTTTTCTTGCAAATGTTTTATGACCTAACTATATAATATCATCAGTTCAGGAAGGGAGTGGGGTTTGCTAGACCCACTCCCTTCTAGCACTGATCATATTACCTAGTTTGGTCATGAAACATCTGCAAGAGAGCACCAAGGACCCCACAGCTAAGAAATATCCTTATATTTCACAATATATAAAGTACAGATAATATTCATTCATTTGCTATGGATCCTCCAGATGACCGTTGTATCTGATGCCATTTTACAATTTGTTGCTGATGGGAACAGGAGAGGGAGGCCCCTTTCAGCAATTTTGGTAACTAGGAGTGTCTTTGATGTTTCTAGTTCTTTGAAGTAACACAGCAGGCTGTCTATGAGGAATATGAATTGTGATAAGAACCGGTTCAAACCTGCTAAAGATAAGGATTGTACAAAGATTTGAACTCTAGTAATAATAATAATAATAATGATAAAGTTGGAAGGGACCTTGGAGGTCATCTAATCCAACCTCCTGCTCAGGCAGGAAACCTATACCAGTGATGGCGAACCTTTTAGAGACCAAGTGCCCAAACTGCAACCCAAAATCCACTTATGCATCGTTGGGTGCCAGGTGGATGTGGCTTGGGTGGGTGTGGCCCATTGGGTGGGTGTGGCCCATTGGGTGGGTGTGGCCCATTGGGTGGGTGTGGCTGCGGTGGTAACGGCAGACTGGGTGGGACTGAAAAGTTCAATCAATCAATTCGAACTTTGCAAGATCTTTTTTTTTCCCGCGAGAAGTTGAAATGGACTGATTGATTGAACCTTTTTTTTTTTGTACACGGTGGCGGAGGCCTAAAGCGAAAAGGTTTTATAAAATCCAGCTGAAGGCCTAGGACTGGGGCGACGGCGCGCGTGCCCACAGAGAGGGCTCTGAGTGCCGCCTCTGGCACCCGTGCCATAGGTTCGCCACCACTGCCCTATACCATTTCGGACAAATGGCTATCCAATACATAATGCCTCATTATAAGTAGTCCTTGACTTACAACCATTCATTTAGTGACCATTCAAAGTTACAATGGCACTGAAAAGAGTGACTTACAACCATTTTTCATACTTAATGATCATTGCAACATCCCCACGGTCACATGATCAAAATTCAGAGGCTTGGCAACTGACTCGTATTTACGACGGTTGCCGTGTCCAGGGGTCATGTGATTCCCCTTTTGCGACCTTCTGACAAGCAAAGTAAATGGGGAAGCCAGATTCACCTAACAACTGTGTTAGTAAATATGAGTCAGTTGCCAAATATGTGAATTTTGATCACGTGACCGTGGGGATGCTGCAACCATCATATGTCTGAAAAATGGTCATAAATCACTTTTTTCAGTGCCATTGTAACTTTGAATGGTCACTAATTGAACTGTTGTAAGTTGAGGACTACCTGTAACAGATTTGGAAGGGATCTTGGAGGTCTTCTAGAAGACAGCCTAAGCTAATGGATCTTGCCAATGTTTATGGCTAACAAAACTTGAAAGGAAAGGGGGAGAATGATCCATGGGGCCCCCAAATGGATCCTTTTCTTCAACATCTGGGTATTCACCTGCTTTCTGCCTCCTGAACCCCTCCAGCCATCCCTGCGAGGTTCAAGAAAGGTCTGGAGGACCAAGAAGCTTCAGAAGGTGGAACAGCTGCTCTCCGGTGCGAGCTGACAAAAACAGCTACGGTGGAGTGGAAAAAGAAACACAAGACACTGCGTGCAAATGACAAATACAATCTGAAGCAGGAAGGCCCTGTGGTAGAGTGTGTGATCCACAACCTCGATCTTGGAGATGCAGGAGAATACTCCTGTGTCTGTGGTGATCATAAAACGACGGGGGCTCTGGCAGTCCGTGGTAAGTCAACCTATCTTGAGTTCGGTATTTGGCAAATCTGGTTTTTTTTGTCTCGTTTGTGGATGTCAGTTTGTGGTTTGTCTTTCACAGTCTGCCTCCCGTTCACTGGAAACCTTTCTTCTTCCTGTTGTGTTGACAGTATTGGTCTTTAGTTCTAGAACAATGGTTTTCAGATATGGTTCTAGGAAACCCTTGCATTTTCCAATGGAGAATCAGAAGTGAGAAAATGTCCAAGGTCTGAACATCATATGGCTTTGTCTTGACACAGTTGTTTATTAAAGCTGATGGTGAAGGCCAAAGGCTCCTGAGTTGTCCTCCATGATCTTTGTGTGTGCTCAAAAACATAAGTCTGAGATATTCTAGAACAGAGGTCCCCAACCTTTTGGGCACCAGGGACTGCTTCCGTGGAGAGAAATTTTTCTGTGGACCAGAGGGTGTGTGATTTTGTGTGCTGCCTGCATCCCACGAATGGGCCTTTGCTTGTTTGTGTGGACCGGTTGCTGGCCTGCCACAGACCGTTTACTGGTCCACGGACGGGGGGTTGGGGACCCCTGTTCTAGAACAATAGGGTTGGAAGGGACCTTGGACGTCTTCTAATCCAATCCCTTACTCTAGAACAGAACAGAAGAAAAGGAAGGAAGGAAAGAAAATATAAATAAATGAAAAGAAGGAAGAGGAATGACAATGTGAAAAGAGGAAAGGAAGGAAGGAAGGAAGGAAGGAAGGAAGGAAGGAAGGAAGGAAGGAAGGAAGGAAGGAAGGAAGGAAAAGTGACAGGGAGGTTGGGAGGGAAAAAGGAAGGGAGGAGGAGGAGGGGAGGGAGGGAGGAAAGAATGAAGGCAGGAAGTCAAACAGGAAGGAAGGAAGGAAGAAGGAAAGGATGGTTGGGAGGGAAGGAGGGCAACAGCAAGGGTGAGAGGCAGGAAGGAAAAGAAATATAAAGGAAGGAAGGAAAGTACATATCCTATTTTTATTTATTTATTTATTTATTTATTTATTTATTTATTTATTTATTTATTTATTTATTTATTTATTTATTTATTTATTTATTTATTTATTTATTTATTTATTTATTTATTTATTTATTTATTTATTTATTTGATTTGTATCCCGCCCTTCTCCTTACCGGACTCAGGGCGCGACTGTCGGAATATTTTGGTTATAATGTGTAAATATCAAATTAAAACCAGATTAAAAGGAAATATTTGTAATGGCCTAATAATTAAAATTTCCCTTAAAAAACCCCACTAAAATTCCCTAGGCCAATCCCGCTTGTTGGAAAAGCCATGTCTTTAGGGCGCGGCGGAAGGAGGGGAGATCCGGGATCACCCGGATCTCGGGGGGTAGTTCGTTCCAGAGGGTGGGGGCTCCCACCGAGAAGGCCCTCCCCCTGGGGGTCGCCAGCCGGCACTGTCTGGCCGACAGCACCCTGAGGAGACCCACTCTGTGGGAGCGTACAGGCCGATGGGAGGTAATCTGCGGCAGAAGGCGGTCTCGAAGGTATCCAGGTCCAATGCCATGGAGCGCTTTGAAGATGATGACCAACACCTTGAAGCGCACCCGGAAGGCCACCGGCAACCAGTGCAGCTCGCGCAGCAGCGGTGTTACATGGGAGCGACGAGTCCCTCCCAACACCGCCCGCGCGGCCGCATTCTGGACCAGTTGGACCAGTTGGAGCCTCCGGGTGCTCCTCAAGGGGAGCCCCATGCTCTCACTCCAATTCCTCTTCCCTACCTCTGACCTAACTTTGTCCAAAGTCCGTCTACCCCTGGACAATTTTCATACTCTCCTCTTATGTCCTACAGCCCTACCTCCCCAATTCAAACAGGAACTGAAGGATGTGTCAGCCACCGAAAATGAAACAGCCACCTTGCATTGTGAACTCACCAAAGCTGCTCCCGTGGAATGGATGAAGGAAGGAAACAAATTAAAAGGGGACAAATGCCAATTCAGACAGGAAGCGGCTGTCGCGAAGTTGGTGATCAGCAGTTTAGAAGTTGAGGATGCTGGACATTACACCTGTATTTGTGGAGACCAGAAAACTTCAGCCGTTTTGACTGTTAACGGTAAAATGTGCACAAATTTTTTGATAGATAATATGTATGTTTCATTTAATGAAGAGAAGGACGAGGGAGGACATGATAGTATAGTTCCAGTATCTCAGGGGCTGCCACAAAGAAGAGGGAGTCAAGCTATTCTCCAAAGCGCCTGAAGGCAGGACAAGAAGCAACAGATGGAAACTAACCAAGGAGAGAAGCAACCCGGAACTAAGGAGAAACTTCCTGACAGTTAGAACAATTACTCAGTGGAAGGACTTCTCTTCAGAAGTTGTGCATGCTCCAACATTGGAGGTTTTCAAGAAGAGATTGCATAACATTTGTCTGGAATGGTATAGGGTGTCTTGCTTGAGCAGGGGTTGGACTAGAAGACCTCTAAGTCCCTTTCATCTCTGTTATTCTGTTATTGAATAATGTTTCGTCACTGCCAATTTTTACTTGGGACATCAAATATTCATTGGTCCTGTAGAACATGAACCCCCAACCTACCAGGCCATGGCCTATTCAAAAAGTCGCCTTCCCCACCCCCAGCCAGGCCATTGAGCTGCAAAAATTGAGGACTGCTGCTTTAGAATCTTTATTCACAGACTTCTATTTTTCTGAAATTGCTCAGAATTTCACTTAATGGAAGAAGGGTTAAATGTTTTACTTTGTTGTTGTTAATTGCGAAGTCGTGTCCGACCCATTGCGACCCCATGGACAATGTTCCTCCAGGCCTTCCTGTCCTCTACCATCTTCTGGAGTCCATTTAAGCTCACGCCTCCTGCTTCAGTGACTCCATCCAGCCACCTCATTCTCTGTCGTCCCCTTCTTCTATTGCCCTCCATCTTTCCCAGCATCAGGCTCTTCTCCAGTGAGTCCTTCCTTCTCATTAGGTGGCCAAAGTCCTTGAGTTCCAACTTCAGGATCTGGCCTTTTAAAGAGCAGTCGGGGTTGATCTCTTCTAGGACTGACCGGTTTGACCGCCTTGCAGTCCAGGGGACTCACAGGGGTCTTCTCCAGCACTGTAGTTCAAAGGCCTCAATTCTTTGTCGCTCAGCCTTTCTTGTGGTCCAACTTTCATAGCCATACATTGCAACTGGGAAAACCATGGCCTTGACTATATGCACTTTTGTTGGCAGGGTGATGTCTCTGCTTTTTAGTATGCTGTCTAGATTTGCCATAGCTTTCCATGTATTACTTACGCCTGTTCTTTTTGACTTCGCAGCCCTCAAGCCAGAATTCACACAGCGGCTGAAGGATGAGAAAGCAGATGAGGGCAGCACGGTCAGATTACGCTGTGAGGTGACCGTCCCTAAAGCCACAGCAGAGTGGCGCAAAGATGGTGCAAGAATCTGTGCTAGTCCCAAATATGACATCAGACAAGATGGTGGCATCCGTGACTTACTCATTCATAACTTGGAACTCCAAGACAGTGGAAAGTATTCATGCAGTGTTGGAGACCAAACCACTTCTGCCACATTATCTGTGCAAGGTACAAATTTTTTGAATCAGACTAGAACTGTCACCTGGTATTTGGCTCAAAGTCACCCAGCCAGCTGCCAAGCCTAAAAGCAGGATTAGAATTCATTGTCTCCTGTTGCTTCACTGTAAAGAATTCAGTTTTTATAACAATTTTTTTTAAAGTCTGGATCATCTTACCCTATTGTGTTGTCTCAGTTACTAACTTTCATACGTTTAATTCTAACAACTTCTGTGGACCCCACCCTATATTTTAAGAGGTCCCTAAGGGAGCATGCATAAGACAACTAACATACCGATTGTCCCTGTTAACATATTAATTTTTTCATTTTGCTCATTCATATGTGTAATTTTCATGTGATGAAAAAATATACATTCATAGATATGAAATTCTTTATACGAAGAATATGAATATTCTTCATATGAAAATTCAAATTCAAATGAGCAAATGAAAAAATTAAAATGTGACAGAGGTGATAAGATGATTTATATACATACATACGGATAACTAGACAGCGAGCTAGCTAGATATAGATATAGGTATAGATACAGATAAATATATAGACATAGATATGCATGTCACCTCTTTCATCTTAGGTCTACCCCTTTCAAGAATATTTATGAAATGAATAATGTTTAATCTTAAACATATTTACTTCCTGGGACATCAAACATACATTGGTCTTGTACAACCAATTTTTCCCGGGTTTCTATTTTTCAGAAATTGGTGGGAACTGTCACTTAATAAAAAAAATGTAATTTTTAAAATTTTTCTCCCATTCGTTTTGACCTCTGCAGCCCTCAAGCCAGAATTCACGCAGCGGCTGAAGGGTGAGAAAGCAGATGAGGGCAGCATGGCCAGGTTTTGCTGTGAGGTGACCCTCCCAAAAGCCCCAGCAGAGTGGCGCAAAGATGGTGCAAGAATTCACGCTACTTCCAAATATGACATCCGACAGAATAGGGGCATCCATGAGTTACTCATTCTTAACCTGGAACCCGAAGACAGCGGAGAGTATTCGTGCATCGTTGG